CACACACACACACACACACACATTCCCCCCCCCACACACACACATTCCCCCCCAACACACACACACACATATGCACAAACATATCACCCCACCTGACAGCCAAATCACACACACTAAAACGCCTAGGCATGTGCATGCCCGCAAGGGCGCGTGCACACGCACGTGTGCGCACGCGTGCGCACACGACACACACACACACACACACCTACACACACACTCGCACACGCACACGCGCACACACACACACACTCGCACACGCACACACACACACACACACACACACACACACATTGCACGCACACATTTTGCACGCTCACGTGCGCCCGCACAGTGCATCCCGTGCGCACCAGTAGTTCTTGATGGCGTTGTCGGTGCGGCCTGGCAGGTGCTTGGCAATCAGCGCCCACTTGTTGCCCATCTGAGCGTGCATCTCGATGATGACTTGCTTCTGCAGGCGGGTTTTTGGGGTTTGCAAACGGGGTTCTTTGGAGTCGGACGGCGCCATGTTTGAGGATGTGCAAGTGGGGGAATGCATGCACGTGTGCACGCGTGAGCATGCATGTACGTACGTACGTGTGTGTGTGTGTGTGCGCGCGCGCGCGTGTGTGTGTGTGCGTGTGTGTGCGTGTGTGTGTGTGTGCATGCGTGTGCGTGTGCACGTGTGCGCACCTCTTCCTCTGTAAAGGGCTCCTTGTTGACCCGCGGATCAAGCTGATTGAACCACCGCAGCCGGCAGCTCTTGCTGTTGCGCCCGCCCCCCATGTGGCCGGCAATCGCCGTCCAGTTCTGGGGGCCGTAGCGCCCCACAAGATCCAGCAGCCGCGCGTCCTCCTCTGCACGGCGGGCGGCAAGTGCGGGGTCGGTGCGAGGTGCGACGTGAGCGTGTGTTGCAGAGGGATGTGGGGATGTGCAGGTGTGTGCGCACGCTCTGCTCATTTAACCCCACTCGCAGGGTGAGGGAGCCTAGACCCCCGCCCCCTTCACCCCCTGAGGTGCTTGTGCACACCTGGCGACCAAGTGGCGCGTTTGACGACCGTGAACCCCATCTGGTTCGAGTCCCCGGAATGGGAGTCGGGCTTGCCATCACTGTCGTCGCCCTCATAGGTTGCGGCGCCGTAGCCGCGCATCGTGCCCCCCGCCGCGGTAGGGGCGCGGGCGCGCTGCTGCCGCGTGCCTCTGCGGGCCTGCGCGAATTGCCAGGGAGGAATGCCTGAGCGTGGTGATATATCATAAGATCCCGGTTGGCAAGAGTAGGGGGATGGCGGATGAGCGGGTGGCTTTTTGTAGGTGAAGGCTCGGTCTTGCCGCTTGCAACGGCGAGGCGACTGTGTGTGGGAGACCTCAGCGCACCTGGATGCGAGTTGTATGCTGACGTTCGTCAGCAGATAGTTCGACACGTTGCGGTCTTCGCCCGGTCTTGCAGCAAGTGGGTGCACCTGCTGCCGTTCCGTGCGTAGGTGCTCAGAGGGGAGGTAATCGGAATTGGATGATGCAATTGATGTATAGAGCCGGTGCCTGTCGAAACACTCGCGCAAGAAGCGTTGTCCTTGGTTGTTTTACTCGGTTGAACCGAGCAGCAAGTTGCAAACCGACAAGTTGAGCAAGTTGCCAGACCAACAATAACATGGGCACAATCACGAATTAAATAATTTTCTGCCGCTCCAATATGCCACGTGCTTCGTGGTGCTCACAGACCTGTCCTTGTGTACAGGCAGTGCGTACTGCTGCACTTCCAACTCTGCTGGGGCACGCGCTCCCACGGGCTGCCCTCAACATCGCAAATTCCTGAACAATCCCCTCTACTGCAAACAAAATTTGACTCTGGCAACCTCCACGTGGAGGTTGTCGGTCCTGCATTGCAGGGCGTGACGAGAGCTTGTCTCACTTGCGCATGTGGCGTCACCACGCCAAAAATTGGGGATGGTTCATAACAAGAAAGGCCCCCAACAGAGCTCGCCAGTCACACACACCCGTGCATCCCCCACCACACACACACGCACGCACGCACGCACGCACGCATGCGCGTGCGTGCGCAGACACACACACACGCACACACACACACGCACACACACACACACACTACAGCACGCGTCCCTCAGGTCCCATATGGAACGAAAAGTCAGTTGTGGCACAGGTTCATGGCCCCCCAACCAACACGGCTTCTGTTGCACGGCCCTGCCCGCAATCCGAACCCCCCGCGACGTGGCACGCGCCGCCGGCCCATGCTTGCTTGCCTCGTGCCCCTCAATAGTCTTGCCCTGCTTCGGCAAAGTCTGACAAGGCGGAGCTTGAATTCGCGCGCACGCTGCTGGCGCTGCGCGGCGGTCCTACCCATCCCAACTCTGGCCCCGGGCCAAATTCCCGGCAGCCAGGGCTTCACCAAACGCTTTGATGTGTTGAATCATCCACAAATCAACGTGCCTGCCGCTTGAACTTCCACACGTGGTTGCACTGCAGGATGAGGTCTGGTCTCTGGGCATGAGTGCTGGCTGGGTGGCGCAGCTTGGCCACACCGTGCGCCCATCACCGACACACCTCACTCACGGATGCCGCTGGGTTTGAGCCTGGCCGGGCCTGCTCTGCACCCATCGACCTGGGGATCGAGCGCCCAGCCTGTGTGTTGTGCTGAGTGCCTGGCTGCATTGCACGAGTGTGTTTTGGTTGGGGTGGCTTGCACACCCTGGTGGTGCTCGGCAGCATGAGTTAGGTGGCCAGTCCTGCCTTGGGAGACAAGCGCGCGAGTGGGTCAAGCCGCACACATATTGGCCTGCCCGGGGGCTAGGATTCAAGACATCGATGGGGTGCGTGGCGGGCCAACAACCTAGTGAGAAGCTGGCCACCTAAAGTCGCATGTCTTTGCCCCAAATTCTATTCCGGCCCCCCTAGCTGCAGCATCACACGTGAGCTGGGGCTGGCGCCTGGTGCAAGGAATTTGCATTACACGCAACTGCTACAGCCAGATGGGCTAGCGCACCTCCGTGTGCGCGCGCGAGCGCACACAACTATACTCACACATGCACAAAAACGCACGCGCAGGCGCACACACTTGCACACAACCAAACACGCTTGCACACGGATGTCGCAAAATACCCGGAAAAGGTCGGCACTACCACTGTGCACACACGCCACATGCAGCAGGGGTGCACGTGCACGCCTGCAAGCGCGCCAGAAGAGCGCTATGTGCAGAGTGGCGGTTGAGCTACAAACAACAACCTCATGAAACAGCGAAGATACAGGATCAGCGGTGATGCTGCTTTGTGCAGGTCATGGACTGAAAACAAAGGTACCGCGGAAGGCAACAACCAAAACATGGCCTCGGAATGAAGTGGAGGAGGCCACATGAAGCGCCAAGGCGCGGGGCCAACCCTGGCAGGCGGGTCGCGGCCGAGCGGAAGCCCTGGGCGCGCTGCCGCAGCGTCGACACGCCGCACCGCTCGGCGGGCTGGTGGGAGGCGGCTCAAGATTCGGCGGGGCGGGGTAAGCGGCGCCGCCCTGGCGCGTCGCAACCCCCAGCGCGCATGGGGTTGCGGGCGCCGGCCGTTGCCACGTCCGCACCAGCCCCCAGCAAGCAACCCGTGGGCGCGGGCGCGCTGCGGCGGCCCCACGTCGACCTGCGCTCGAGGGTCGCAGGAGCGGCTGCGGCAATCGCGCGGCGGCAGAGGGAGAAGACCCGCCGCCGTAATCGCTGCAAGGCAGCGGGACGCCAGGTGCCGTGTCCCACTGGGGACCTGGCCGGGCGATGATGTGCTGTGCGCTGCGCCTGCTACCCTGCAGGCGCAGAGTGCCAACTGAAGCACGAGACAGCAGATAGCGCGGGATAATCAGATGGCGCTCTGCGCACGGCGGGCAGGGTGGCGTGGCGGCAGACAGCGCGGCGCCGGGCGGGGCCCTTAAAAGGCGTGGGTTTAGGGTTTAGGGTTTAGGGCCCTTGAAAGGCCTGCGAGCCGGCCGCCCTATGCTGCTGCAGGCGCCCCGGCACAGGGCCGACTGCCTGCCGGCTGGCGGCGGCGCCGCGGCCGCCGCTCGGCGGTGAGCGCTGAGCTCCGCTCAAACCGCGACCGTACCGCTGGGCCCGCTGCGAATGCACCACCCAGCCTGCTTGCAGGCGCCTTGGCCGGCCGCGGGCGCGATCGGCACGTTTGTGGCGAGCTGGGTGCGTGCGCCCGGGCTGCACTCCGCAGCTCTACAGCTGCGCCTGGCCATAGCGCTGCTGCCGCAGCTCCTGCGCGGCCGCCGGCTCGTCGTGCCTGAACGCGCACGCGGCGCCGCGCTGGCATCGGCCCAAGGGGTAGAACTTGCACGGCGTCTGATGCCGCGGCCGGCGCTGCTGCCCGGCGCCGCCGCTGCCGCCGCCGCTGCCGCCGCCGCTGCTGCCGTTTGCGGCGCCGGCCGCGAGCCCCTCCTGCTGCTGCCACGTCAGCGCCCCGCCGCCGCCGCCGCCGCCGCTCGCCGCCGCCTGGCGCACCGGCTGCTGCGGCGCATGTGCCTCGCGCTGCTGCCAGGTCAGCGCGTCGCCGCCGGCGCCGACGTAGCCTGGAGACTGGTACACCGCGGTGAGCAGCGGCGCGGGCGCGGGAGCGGGCGTGGCGGGGGCAGCGGGAGCATCCCAGCCGGCGTCCTGGCCTGAACTGCCCCAACCTGCATCTTGGGGCTCATCCCACCCGTGCTGCTCCAACTGCTGCTGCTGCTGCTGCTGCTGGACCGACGGGGGCCGCGCGGCGGCCTTGCGGGCCGCGGCCGCAGCAGCGACGGCAGCCATCAGCGACTGCACCTGCGCCGCCGCCGCCGCCGCCCTCTGCGCCTGCTGAGCTGGCGTCAGCGCAGCCGCCGCCCGAGCCGCCACCGGCGGAATTGCCTGCTGCTGGTGCTGCTGTTGCGGAGGCAGCTGCTGCTCCTGCTGCTGCTGGGACGGCAGCAGCTGCTGTGGCTGCGGCGGCGGCTGCAGCTGCGGCTGCGGCGGTGGTGGCCGCGGCGCCTGCGGCGGCGGCAGCGGGGCCTGCGGTGGCCGCGTTTGCGGCGGCGGCGGCAGCGGCGGCTGCGGTGGCGGCGACAGCGGCGCCTGCGGTGCCTGTGGCGGCGGCTGCGGCGCCTGCGGCGCGGGCGACGCCGGCGCAGCCGCGGCAG